ATATAAAACTTCTGGTTGAGTTCAGTGAAATTCAGACTCAGACCTGTTGCCCCTGAGATATAAAAAAAATCAGCTCAAGATGGAGAGAGACAGTCTTCTTCTGCCTGGCCCATCGGCCGCATCTAGGAGAAGAGCCATGGGTGATGGGTGCCCGGTTGGGTTTCTCCCTAGGGTTAAGGGCCCACAGAAGCGATGACCTCACTCCGAACAGCCTTGGCCTCCCAACAGCAGGTTAAAATTAGCTCCCGGGAGTGACTTGTGAGGAACTAAATTTGGATTTCAGTCCTTCCCAGTTTGGCCATGCTCTTTGTGTCTCGGGATATGTGAAAGCCTGACCCGTTGCTGGATGGAAAGGACCATCCAGCTCAAGCCCATTGCTCTTGAGAAAGGGACTGCAGGGCCATGTTCCAGCTGGGGACAAAGAACAGCCCCAAGAAATCCAGACAACATTGCATTATGAGGTTTTTCTCCTGCCAACCCATTCCCAGAATCATGCAAGTAGCTCAAACATTCAGAGTAATCAGCCAAAAATAGACTCTCCCATCTCTTGGGATTGGGTTTTTTTTTTCCAGATAAGACTTAGGGTTTTTTGAGAGAAAACAATAATAAAATAAACCCTTTCAAATCTACCAGGTTCCCCTTTAGCTTCTTCTAGCATCAGAGATCTAAAAGCTGGAGAGAACATTTTAAAAATAAAAAACAGATCTCAAAAAGGGAAGCATTTTGTCCATGTGGCACTTAACAAATAGGCAAAGCTTCATGGGACTTTTGAGGCGGCCATCTTGACTTTTTTGACCCTGGTTGGTCACTATTTTGCCCTGGGCTCTTCACATCTGGAGTGCTGACCACTGCATCGCCATAGGCAACCGACAAGAGCATGGGATTCTTCTGGGACATTTATATACAGGCAGTCCTCGCCTTGTGACCACGATGGAACAACATTTCCGTTGTTGAGTAAGATAGTTGTTAAGTGAGTTTTTGCCCTATTTTGCCACCTTCCTTTCCCCAGTTGCGAAGTGGATCACTGCAATTAAGTTAGTAATACGGTTGTTAACTGAATCAGGAGGTTGCAAAAGCGGACCGCGTGACCCGCAGGACGCTGCGACCGTCATCAAGACAAGTCAATTGCCAAGCATCTGAATTTTGATCACGTGACCACGGGGAGGCTGCAATGGTCATAAGAGTGAATAATGGTCACTAAATGTAATAGTTGTAAGTCGAGGATCGCCTGTATTTAACTTTTTCTACTACAGTGTGTCTTGAAGCCAAACGAGAAATGAGCAAAACTCTTTCCCAGCCAAAAAAAGGAATTGGAGAGTAGATAGACAACTGATAGTACATTCCTGAATTATTTCTTGAGCAGTTTTCACAAGGAAGGAGAGAAGCAACCTAGAACTAAGGAGAAACTTCCTGACAGTGAGAACAATTAACCAGTGGAACAGCCTGCCTCCAGAAGCGGTGAATGCTCCAACACTGGAGGTTTTTAAGAAGAGACCGGACAGCCATTTGTCCGAAATGATGTAGGGTTTCCTGCCTGAGCAGGGGGTTGGACTAGATGACCTCGAAGGTCCCTTCCAACTTTACTACTATTATTATTATTAAGAGAGACTCAGAGGAAGTTCTTTGCCCAAAGAAGGAGCTTATAATATGTAATTCAAAAGGGTAACCAAGAACGGAGACCGGCCAAAAAGACCTTCCAAACGGGATGCGAGAGTCCAACATTCCACCTCAAGTCCCAAATGCTGCAATCCTGACTCATCAGATAAAAGAGAGAAATGCCACCCAAGACTCTTCTGAGAGCGTTAACATCTACAATTACACAACCCTGAGCAGGGAAGGGAGAGAATGGAGGAAAGAGGCATATTGATGAAGCTATATCAGTGATGGCGAACCTTTAAGAGACCGAGTGCCCAAAAATTGGCCCTGGCCCTGCTCCACCTCCCTGCTCTGCCCCTCCTCTGCCCCCCATCCCCTGCCCTGCCTGCCCACAGGACTACTCACAGCCTCCAGGGCCCGCCGCAGATCACCCAGGCAGCCCAGCAGCGCTATGGCGGTCACGCCCTCTGCCCGCGCCCTGCAGCATCGACTGCATGATGGGGTGTGAGGGCAGAGTCTTGTCTACGCTGCCTGGCTGCCATGTCCTTGGCTGCGCTGCTCCGTGTGGGCCACGCTCAAGGCTGACTCTCCTTCAGGGGGGCTGCTGGAGAGGAGGGGGTCACAGGGGGAGGCAAGGCTGGGCAACGGCAGGTGTGCCCACAGAGAGGGCTCCGAGTGCCGCCTCTGGCACCCGTGCCATAGGTTCGCCACCACTGAACTATATGCACACTTGGACTTCACCTCCATAGGAGGTGAGAAGGGCTTAAGTTAGAAGGTGTGAACAATGGGAGATTGGGGAAGAAAACATTTCTTTCTTTGATTCATTTATAAAATTTATAGGCTGCCCGTCTTATCTCAAGGGAACTAGAAACATGAAGGTGAAGGAACTCTAGGGAAAACACCACAGCAAAACCTTAACAAGAACTCCTCTACTCCGTAAGCCAGTGTTTCCCAAACTTGACAATTTTAAGGCATGAGGACTTCAACTCCCAGAATTCCACAGCCAGCGTTGTTGGCTGTGGAATTCTGGGAGTTGAAGTCCACATGCCTTAAAATTGTCAAGTTTGGGAAACACTGCCGTAAGCTAAGATCAGCACGAAGAGCTTTGCAAATGAGGTCAACAACAGACAAGATTAGAAATTTCCGCGTTTACAGCTACCCATCAATCTTGGCACATGGTGACGCAAAGGTCATCGTGCCTCTGTTTTGCTTTTTGTGTGTGTGCGTGTGTGTGTGTAATATATTTTATTGATTTTTTTAAAAACATAAATCATAATAATGGGTGAACAGTGCATTGTCTGGGTTACATTTATAAAACAATCATTAACAATTGATTTCTATAATCCATAATCCACCTAATGGTTTTAGTTGATTTCTTCTTTTCCCAAAATATCCTCTTTTGCAAACATGGAGTTAACGCAATTCTTATTGTTTGGATAGATAACAATTAAATATATATATTTCCCCCAATATTTCTAAAAATAATAATCACACGTTTTGCTTTTTTTTTTTTTTTCAACATCTGTAAACATGGAAGCTCCCTTAATTTTCCGCCTGGGCCATTGGACAGCCAACTCAGTAAAGTGAAGTTACTCAGGGACCGTCAGAAAACCAAGATGATTTTACGTGATGATGGATAAAGAAGATTGTGTCGGAGAAGACTTGGGAACTCTAAACTTTTAAAACTTATTTTTTAAAAAGAAATCTTCCTTTCACTCAATTCAAAGAAACGTACATTCTTATCTTCAAGAAGGGCACTTGAAATGTGCTTTGAGAATCATAAAAAAGGCAAATATGGAAAGAGAGACTCAATTATTGGACACAGCAGTGTTTCTCAATTTTGACAATGTGAAGATGTGTGGACTTCAACTTAAGCGAACCTGGCTAATCTACTGATTTGTGAGATTCCATGAGCCCTGGGACACTGCGACCGTCGTAAATGCGAGTCAGTTGCCCAGCATCCCAATTTTGGTCACATGATCATGGGGATGCTAGAAAGGTGGTAACTGTGAGAAACGGTCGTTAAGTCACTTTTTTCAATGCCTTGGAACGGTCACTACAGGCCTACCTGTATAAACCAAACTTTACAAAACCTCTTTTCCTTAAACCATGATACAAGTTTCCAAGAAACGTTCATGGACCAATAACTGAAATTTAATCAAAATTCAGTTAACTCACAACCACAAACCTCATCCAGAATGTTTAAATAAATAGAATGAAATAGAGAGAGAGAAAAAAAACAGATTTTGCCTTTGCTTCTCCGGGCTGGTGACCAAATTATTATTTTAAATCAAAAGTGTGACAATTTCCCCAGATTTGAAAAAAAGGGGGAGGGAGGAAAGGAGCCCCCCCCCCCAAATGTTAGCTCTGATTCTCTCTCTGGCTTTGTATGAAAAGTAAGATAGCAGACTCTCGAACGCTCTGCTTTAGAGTTTTATCTTTGCACATCGCCAAAGGAAATAACCTTTCTTTGCCAAATATTGATCTCTTTTTTTTTAAAGGTTTTGAAATCTAGATTTTTAAACCCACAGATATTTCGCTTGCCACGTGCTGCAGCATTCAAACATTTACAAATTCATACGTACCCATTATAGAGCAAAGACCCAGAAAGAGTAGTACTAAAAAACAAAAAACAAGAGGAGGGGATTTCTATCTCATTTAGGATCAGAGAATCAGTGTGCCCCTCCCCAAAACAACTGCACAGTTTTCTAGCCTTTACTACCAGACCCCCTCCCCCTTTACACTTCCCATTTCAGATGAATTATTTTAAAAAACCAGAAACATTTCTGGGGGGTCCACCTTAGCTTTCAGAGGTTTGCAATTGGAAACAGCAGCATTTTGCAGCTTCTCCCTCAGCACACAAACCCACAGACACACACACAGACTCCCCTATTTTTGGACTGCTTCCAAGCTTTCTTACCGGAGACACATCCCATCGAAAAGGTGCTGTTAGTTGCAGCAAGAGCAGGAGCAGCCAAAGTGCAGAGAGCATGGTGCTGCAGACCCTTCAGTTTCTCACAGGTTGCCCGCCCCTCCCAGAAGCAGGACGAAGGGAACAGGGACTGGACACGGCTGAGTCACCGAGGACACACTGGACACTGCCGAGTCTCCGTCTGCCGAGTTATAAAGCCCCCCCCCCAGAGCCCACCAAACTCTCCCCGCCCTTCCCCGGGCAGGTCACTGCACTCCTCTCCAAGGTGTCCAAGTCACTGCACTCCTCTCCAAGGTGTCCAAAGCACGTGGGCCACCAACAGCTGGAGGAGAATCCACGCCCCCCTCGGGGAGGGGAAATCCCCACCCTCCCCTTCCAGATCAGAGGGAGGCAACCTCAGGTTGCATTTGTGGCGGGGGGGGGGGAGAGGAGGGTGGTGGTGGGTGTAGATTTTAAATCAGAAATATTTTACCTTCCAGCAGTTTTGCAAAGACCGGTCCTCAGCTCCAGAGGGCTTTCTTGAAGGAGAGCAGGGGGTCCTCGACTTACGTCCGCAACGGAGACCTACGTTTTGGTGGTTAAGCCAGAGGTTTGTTCCGAGAGTTTGGCTCCCTCGTTTTATGACCTGTCTTCCAGGCGTTGGAAGTCCACACCTCTTAAAAAGTTAGCCAAGGTTGGGAAACTCTTGCCCTAGCAGAACGTCTGTGCAGGAAACGTCTCGTTTGGCAGGTCCGGTTCCCTCAAAGAAGCCACAAAGAAACGTGTTCAAGATCTTCCCAATCTCTTGTTCTCAACACCCCCAAACACCCTTCTCTGCTCCACGCCAAGCCCATCTCTTACTGGGCGAGGTTCGGTTGCAGGCCAGGGAAGAGCAAGCAGGGAGAGGGGAGGGCTGGACAGCAAGGATATTTGGGAGAACAAAATGTGCTACTGACAGCCCCTGTGGTGTCCCAGCGTGAGTTAAGCTTTAACTATTGAATCCACAGCTCCCTCTGAAGTGACCCTCTAGAACAGGGGTAGTCAACCTTGGCTCTTTTATGACTCGTGGACTTCAACTCCCAGAATTCCTGAGCCAGCTGTGCTGGCTCAGGAATTCTGGGAGTTGAAGTCCACAAGTCATAAAAGAGCCAAGGTTGACTACCCCTGCTCTAGAACACCAGCTGCTGACCCAAAGGGTAGGTGTTCTGGAGCCGAGCCTCGAACGGGGCACGGTATTGAGCAAGGGGCAAAACGGAGCGTACCGTAGCTCTTTTCCTTGGGAAACAGACGCTGGTCTTTGCTGGATAGAAATTGTACCGTGATCGAATGGTTTGCTGGAACTGGGTATGGAGAAGACTGCGAGTCCCCTGGACGGCAAGGCGATCCAACCGGTCAGTCCTAGAGGAGATCAACCCCGACTGCTCTTTAGAAGGCCGGACCCTGAAGTTGAAACTCAAGTACTTTGGCCACCTAATGAGAAGGAAGGACTCGCTGGAGAAGGGCCTAATGCTGGGAAAGATTGAGGGCAAGAGAAGAAGGGGACGACAGAGAAGGAGGGGGCTGGATGGAGTCACTGAAGCAGGAGGCGTGAGCTTCAGTGGACTCCAGAAGATGGTAGAGGACAGGAAGGCCTGGAGGAACGTGGTCCGTGGGGTTGCGATGGGTCGGACACGACTTCGCAACTAACAGCAAGTTTAATGAAAAGGACTAGGGGGGATATGATGGCAGCGTTCTAGTATCTCAGGGGTTGCCCCCAAGAAGAGGGAGTCAAGCTATTCCCCAAAGCACCTGAAGGCAGGACAAGAAGCAACGGGTGGAAACTAAGCAAGGAGAGAAGCAACCTAGAACTAAGGAGAAACCTCCTGACAGTTAGAAGAATTAACTTCATCAGTGGAGCTTTTTAAATAGAGATTGGACAACCATTTGTCTGGAATGTTGTAGGGTTTCCTGCCTGAGCAGGGGGTTGGACTAGATGACCTCCCAGGTCCCTTGCAACTCTTGTCATTCTGTTAAGATGGAAATTGATCTGTGGGTGGGATCATCAAACCACTGCTTTCCAGGAAGTCCAGACCTCGTCATTTTTTTCCTCTATTGACTCTTACAATACGCAGATCCCAGGAGACCGACACGAAACCCATTTCAGTCTCCAGTTCAAGTCAGATTTCTTCCCCCAAAGCTTTGTTGGAAACATTTGGGTTTTTTTTTTTTTTTTTGAAAAAGAAATCTTATATTGCTGCTTCACTTTCCTGTCTTGTTCTAGTCCGGGGATCTCCACAAACGTAGCCTCTTTTTAAGACTTGATGGCTTCAATTCCCAGAATGCCCCAGTCAGCCATGCTGGCTGGGGAATTCTGGGAGTTGAAATCCACCAGCCTTAAAAAGTTGCCAAGCGTGGAGACTCTGTTCCAGTCTTTATCAATTTCACAAAGGGAAAGGAGAGAAATCAAGATTCAATCATGGGTCAGTAACCCCTTAGGACAGGGGTAGGCAACCTTGGCTCTTTTATGGACTTGTGGACTTCAACTCCCGGAATTCCTCAGCCAAAGCTGAAGTCCACAAGTCATAAAAGAGCCAAGGTTGCCTATAAGGAGATTTCTTATTTCAGCCCACATCCCAAAGACAGACAGGTAGTCCTTGACTTATGACCTCAAGTGCATCCAAAATTTCTGAGGCTAAGCGCAGACGGCTGTTAAGGGAATTTTGCCTCATTTTACACCGTTAAATGAATCGCTGCCATTGTTAAGTTAGCTAGTCAGTCAGCTTTCCCCAGGGACTTGGCATCTCAGAAAGTCGTAAAAGGGGATCACGTGACCCAGGGGCAGTGCAACCGTCCTAAGTACATGCCAGTTGGCGAGCATTCAGATTTGAATCATGTGACCACAAGAATGCAACAATGGTCAAAAAAAAAATGCGAAACAACAGTCGTGTCTCTTTTTCAAGGCCACTGTAACTTCAAAGTCACTAAATGGATTGTTGTAAATTGAGGACCCCTCGTAAATAATTCAAAAACAGATCTGCCTCAAAAACACCCATTTCAGTATATGTATCTCCACACGCTGTTAAGGCCCCGCTTGTAAAAAAAAAATATTAATAGCATTGGGGAAAAAAGGGGGATTGGACAGCCCAATTAATTCCTTTGCAGCCACTGTTATCCATAAAACTGCACTAGTGTTTCTCAACCTTGACCATTTTAAGGCACGTGGACTTCAACTCCCAGAATTCCACAGCCAGCAATGCTGGCTGTGGAATTCTGGGAGTTGAAGTCCACATGCCTTAAAATGGTCAAGGTTGAGAAACATTGCACTAGGAGGATGGAGAGAATTTGCACCTTTGGACTTTTTGAAGGAGTGCAAAGGACTTAAATCAAAATCCCATCAAAGTTATAGACACGGCTCCCGTTATATCTTGAAGGATAGGGGACCAGGAAACACTGCATCCCAAGCTGAGAAAAGGACGTATTTGAAAAGGTCGCATGCAAAATTAAACCAGTGTGTTTAATTGACTTTTCCAGAATCAACCTTGTTAAGTGTCTCTTGGGTGGGCGAAAAAAGCCTTCCAGCCCCACCGAGTGTGTAGCAAAATGTACTCCGTTTGTGCGATTGGAGACCCGGGCCCAACTTTCCAGGCTTTGCAGAAGCTGACCAGAGACGGCAATCAAACTCTTGAGGAAAAGTGAGAGAAGGAAGTCACGCGTAAAAGCAGGGCACTTTCACAGTCTGCAGCTGGCGATGCCCTTTGCAGCTGTCTCCCAGATCCTCTGGGACGATTCTTGTTAGGCCGGTTGGGAAAACTCATTTTGGGTGGGGAGGAACCAGAAGGAGCACAGTCAGAACAACTTTAACAACGGCCCACTCCTGTCCGTTACTAGTTTTAGGGATGACCACCACCGCGGCCCAGGTGAGCCTTTAGCCCAGTGGTTCTCAACCTTTTGAATGCCGCGACCCCCCAACCGGTCGTAAGTCAAGGACTACTCAACTGGTCGTAAGTCGAGGACTACTCAACTGGTGCAGCACTGTTTGCAAAATGGGACTTTTGGTGGGCTCAGCAGGGCAGAGACAGCCTGGACAGTTCCTATTGGCTTTTGAAAGCCAATAGAATTAGACTCTATTCAAGAAAGTCTACTCTATTGGCTTTCAAAAGCCAACAGAATAAAAGGGAGTAGCACAGCTAAGGAAAAGAAGGAAAAAAATGGCCGACTGCGTTGTTTGGCGACCCCCGTGAAATGGTCGTTCGACCCCAAATGGGGTCCCGACCCACAGGGTGAGAACCACTGCTTTAGCCCAAGTGCTTCTGCTGAAGAACTTTCTTCTCTGTAGTCCTCGTGTCGGCTGCCACGTCACGTTTGCCTTTTGCTATCACTCAGTGCCAGACTGCCATGAACTCTGGGGGGGGACGGGATGGGAGGGGGCAGGATTCAAGGAAAAGGGGAAGAAAATTCACTGGGTCTCCCCGAGATGTAGTTTCAAAGTCGACCGGTTGGGAACGGAATCTAGCTGCGTGCCAAAGCGACTGTCCTGCAAACATGTGAATTTGATTGGACATTTGTGTGTGTGTGGGGGGGGGAGAGGTCAGCATGGGGAGGTACCTAAAGGAAGGAAAGTGAGACTTGGGGATTTGGGCGTGCAATTTTCAGTTCTTGCTTTGCACTCCTGTACGTTCACTTCACCTTTAGTACCTTTATAAAAAAAAATGGCATTAACGATGGTTCTTTCCGAGAGGCTCAAATGAGGCAGATCTGACATTAAGACACTGGAGTCTAGCAGCCTAGTCCCCAGCAGCTTTTCCCCAGATTTAGCCCGAGTTGGAAACTTCATCCAACCCGGGAGAAGACAAGAAAGGCCCACGGTCGCAGTCAATCCCTCTCCAACTGCTCCACTCCCACCCTTTCCAGAGGCTTGTGGGACTCGAAGTCGACGGCCTCCTGAAGCACGGAACCGGATGCAGGCAGGGCGCTATCTTTGGGCTTGTAAACAAAATTGACACGGCTCTCTCTCTGGAGCAGGTCCACGCGGATCTTCTGCGGGTAGCTGTCCTCCGTTAAGAGCTGAGTGGCGTTGTCCAATACCAAGAAAAGGCCGTAGGCGGCACCGTCAGAGACGCCGTACTTCTCCGCGCAGGCCGCACAGACCAAGGCCGTGGTCATGTCGGGAGGAACCGAGATGGTCTTCTGGTTCTTGAAGGGTTCGTGGAAGGAGACGTAAAGGATGTGCTGAAAAGAAGGAAGAGACCGTGGAGATGACAGCGTGCCAACGAGGGGCTCAAAGCCACCAGCACAGACCGAGCTGCGTGGGAAAGGGTCAAACGGCAGGAACGGTGGAAAGGAAGAGAAAGAGGGCAGGAGATGGATGGACTCTGTTCCAGTGGGGGCACCGTTGAAAGACTAGGGATCATCATAGGGAACACCTATCTACGGGGGCACCTCGGTACTCAAAAGCTTGTCAAATATGGTACTCAGCACATTTGGACACACACACACAAAAAATAAAGTTCTCCCAGTACTCATCTTTGTTTGGTATTTGACGCACTGTAAAAGGAAGTGGGGGACATCCGCAGAGGGCGGACAGGAAGTCGGCAAGGCTGGGAAGTCACCGACATAGGAAAAGGGACAGATAGAAGTCCAAACCAAAGGGTCAGAGGGCAAGTCACAGGGTTTGTTTGCTACTCATCCTATTTAGCCCTCGCCACGCCTCCAGGAACCCATTAAGCACGAGTACCAAAGTCCCACTGCATGTGGTTGACAATGACTTGAGGACAGATAATCAGTCAGGACGTGAGCTGTGGGCAGCTACAATGAGGTGTCCCTTCATAAACAGTGGAGGTGCAACTAGAATGGTGAGGGTGAGGGGACGACTTTGGGGATTTGGGTTGAAGCCAGGATCAGAGTCTGGTATGAACCAGATCAGAGGGGGGAAAAATGGATGGGGAATGTAGTCCAACCCACCCAGGGACAATATGGTAAGGATGCTAACATGCACAGAAACCAGGAGAACACACATGACAGGGAATGACTCAGAATGTAACCCAGGTTATGCTTAATTCTATAGAAGCCTCTGTCTAAACCAGTATTTCTCAACTTGAGCAACTTTACAAGGGGTGGACTTCAACTCCCAGAATTCCCCAGCCAGCAACTGGTCTAAACCATGGTTAGCATGACACCAACACAGGACCTGCTCCAACAGGAACCAACAGCCCAAATAAGATGGCAGCCACGGCTGAGCAGTTATGTTTCTAGCCCCTTTTGCTCGGCCTTTCCGTCTTGGAGGTTCTCTTTCCACCTGCCTCCCAGCCTCACCTGCAAATTGCGGCGGTGGTGGTGGTGGATGGTGCGCCGGCGATGCCACTGATGGATGGAGCGCTGGGCCTCCACGCTGATCTGCCTGGTGATGGTGAAAGCCGTCTGGAAGTTTTCAATGTGGTAGAGAGCCCCGAACCAGGTGGTGAGGTAGTAGCCCCCTAGAATGCAGGAGGGGGAGGAAGGGAGGATATGAACGTGGGAACCCAGGAGAAGTTGAGGAGTAAACTTGGGGTGACAGTTCGAAAGGTTTTGGAAGGACGTTTGGCCAGACTTGGTTAAGCCAGCTTCAAGCCAAGTCTCGGGCGTTTCTTGTTCTCCTCTCTCATCGGTCAAGCAGCTGCAGGTAACCAAAGGCACTTCAATGCGCAACAAGGCACTTTGAGTAACCCCGAGGCTTTCCTACAGAAAGTACAATCTTGATTTTATTTATTTATTCAAATTTTAACCCACTTTTCTTACTTGAAATCATTCAAGGGGGCAAACATACCTAATACTCCTTCTTCCTGTCTTCTCCACAACAACCACCTTGGGAAGTAGGTTGGGCTGAGGGACTGGCCTGAAGTCACCCAATCAGCTTTCTTGGTTAAAGCAGGACTAGAGCTCACCATCTCCTGGTGATTGGCCCAAAGTCACCCAGCCAACCTAAGGTGGGATTAGAACTCACGGTCTCCTGGTGACTGGCCCAAAGTCACCCAGCCAGCTTCCGGGCCTAAGGCAGGACTAGAACTCACCGTTTCCTAGTGATTGGCCCAAGGTTACCCAGCCAACTTTCATTAAACATGTATAAGTACCTCTAGGCCTTAACAAGAACTGAAGATGATCTCCTAATGGCTAGTGGGGGGAAACTCTTCCTTGGAAACAGATCCAGCTTGAAGCCAGCCAACCACCCTACCTTCTCCCTGCAGCTGACTGGGATCCATCAGTTCCATCATGTACTCCACATCCAACTGTACAGCCGCCACGTCGCAGCGCACCAGCACGTAGATCAGAACTGGCAGGAAGTCATCGGCACCGAAGGGCTCTTCCAAAAATAGAAAGCCAAGGCACGTTATGGGGAGGGGCAGCAGACCTTGGAAGCAGCCCGGGGACGAAAGAAGAGACCAAGGCTGCTTGGCAATATCTATCTATCTATCTATCTATCTATCTATCTATCTATCTATCTATCTATCCATCCATCTATCTATCTATCTATCTATCTGATCTCTACTTCTTCTATATCTATCTGTCTATCTATTCATCTATCTATCTATCTATCTATCTATCTATCTATCTATCTATCTATCTATCTATCTATCTGATCTCTACTATATTTATCTATCATCTATTCATCCATGTATCGATATCTATCTATCTATCTATCTATCTATCTATCTATCTATCTATCTATCTATCTATCTATCTATCTATCTATCTATCTATCTATTGATGCAACTGATAAGCAAAAGGGGTTGTTAAGGGGACCCGACTTCCCCATTGACTTTGTTTGTCAGAAGGTCCCAAAAGGGTCTCACGTGAGCCCGGGGACGCTGCGACCGTCACAAACAGGAACCGGTTGCCGAGCGTCCGAATTTTAATCGGGGAGGATGCTGGAAAAGTCGTAAGTCGCAAGTCCCTTTTCCCAATGCCGTTGTGACTTTGAACTGTCGTCAGTCGAGGACTACCTCTGTTTATTTATTTATTCGTGTATTTCCCCGCCTTTCTTATTGTAACCTTCCCCTGCTTTACTCCCTACCCCACCCCCGTCCATATAAATCAGGGGTGTCAAAACTCAATTTCATTGAGAGCCGCATCAACACTGTGGTTGCCCTCAGGGGCCAGGTGGATGTGGCCTGGGTGGGTGCGGCCTACTGGGTGGGCATGGATGGAGTGGGTGTGGCCTACTGGGTGGGCATGGCCAGCTCTACATCGTTCGTGTCAAGGGTGCCTGGGCAGGAGTGGGACAGATCTGGGGGTCTCTGGCAGAAGGGGGTGGGACCGGGGCAAGCACCAAGGCATGGTCAACTGGAGGAGCCTCCCTGTTCCTCTCAGGCCATGGGGGGGAGGGCTCATGGAGCTAAGACTGAATGCATTTCAGCATAGATGGCCACCACAAAATTGTACATTGGCTCCCGGACGGCCTGGGCCAAGGCCAAGGCAGCGGGGGCCGTTCCCTCACTGTTTCCAGGATGGCTTCGCGGGCCACATGAAACCACTTCGCGGGCCGCATCCGGCCCCTGGGCCTTGTGTTTGACAGGTCTGTTATAAATAGTCACAGGATTGGACACACGGCAATTGAATTGGAAAGTAACCCAGCCGGAGGCCTCGTACCTGCCTTCTCACAGTGGAGGTTCATGGCCTCGTAAAGCATCTTGCAGACCTTCAGCATCTGAGTCTCCTTCTTCTTGGGCGAGTAGGCCTGGTGCAGGAGACTCAGCTTGGCCTGGATGCGCTCCAGGCAAGCCCCGTCGGGCACCCCAGCTACCACACCAAGCTCCTCCAAGCTTTGCTGGCTCAAGGTCAGCTGATTTTCACGCAAACAGTTCAGAGAGCCATCGCGAGTGTGGAAGTCCAGCAACTGGGCATAAATCGTATCCCGCAGCGGCTTCAGGATGCATTTGTAGAGAGCGTCTTCCACCACGGAACCTGGCCCCAAAAAAGAATAACAGAATAACAAGTTGGGAGGGACCCTGGAGGTCTTCTAGTCCAACCCCCTGCTCAGGCAGGAAACCCTATAACATTTTAGACAATTGATTGTCCAATCTCTTCTTGAAAACCTTCATTGATAGAGCACCCACAACTTCTGGTGGCAAGTTGTTCTAACTGTCAGGAAGTTTCTCCTTAGTTCTAGTTTGCTTCTCTCCTTGATTAGTTTCCACCTGTTGTTTCTTGTCCCGCCTTCAGGCGCTTTGGAGTATAGCTTGACTCCCTCTTCTTTGGGGCAACCCCTTAAATATTGGAAGACTGCTTATTATGTCATCCCTAGTCCTTCTTGCCATTAAACTAGACATACCTAATTCCTGGTCATTCTCTTGACCAGTCCCCCAAGGTCAAGAGAATGACTTTGGAGCCAAATGACAGGTCCTTGGGTCTTAGGGACTAGCACCTTAGGCAATGGCTGCAAACCAACTTCATCTGCCTAATGCATATTATCCAAGATGGAGCAGCCTTTTGACCTACGAAGGTAGCAGCTAACATCTTCGGAGGGGTCGAGAGCAACAAACTGGATAGGGCCCCATCGCATCTGTAGATAGGACTGACATGTTCAATATTTTGAGAAAAGTCCCAAGCTTTTCCAATGTTGGCATGCTTCTTTTATGGGCTTCGTTGCTAGTCTGATATACTTTCACTGGCTATAGGTTGCCCAGCCTTGCTTTGCTGTAGTGTAGTTTCTCAAACTTATCAACTGTAAAAGGGGTGGGCTTCAACTCCAGAATCCCTCAGCCAGAATTCTTAAAGTTGACAAGGTTGAGAAACTCTGGCGGAGAGTGTTAATTCAGTTTGTAAATCACAGATTTTTTAGCTTCGTGGGAATCCAGCCACCGGCGCGTTTTCAAGACATCATGGATCCAACCAATTCACGGCTTATGTAGGGACGTTCCATCCTCTATTAACCTGCCTTTTTCGAGCTGGATGGGCCGAGGCTGAACCTGCAACCTCCTCGGTGCCAAACTGGGCTGAAGGGTTGCTGGGTCCAGAAAGCTCCCCCACCTTTGACCAGCTGCTTTGGAGAGTTACCAGAAGATCAACCCATTTGCGTAAACATGACCTGAAAAACCTCGTGGGAAACTAACACATGAAACCACCCAGGATTATCTGTTCTTAGACAAATGTCTTAAAACTGGAATTTAATTTTCAGCCAAAGCCTTTTCCAATTTTTGAATAAAAGCCTCCAAGGTGCAGGGGAACAAAAAAGCTGCTCTTTTTTTTTTTTAAATAAAAAATGTCTGTTTAGGAAAGCTCTTTTGGGATCTTGGTGCTCTCTGAGCTTGGTTGCTTTCTTGTAGGTGTTTCGTGACCCAACTAGGGAATGTCATCAGTGTTAGAAGGAGGGGGGTTTGTGGAGGAGGAGGAGGAGGAGGAGGAGGAGGAGGAGGAGGAGGAGGAGGAGGAGGAGGAGGAGGAGGAGGAGGAGGAGGAGGAGGAGGATGACTGTGGGGTCCTAGATGCTCTCTGGGCTGGGTGGTTTTTTTGCAGATATTTTATAACCCAACTAGGTAACATCATCAGTGCTAGAAGGAGGGGGGCTTGTGGAGAAGAGGAGGAGGAGGAGGAGGAGGAAGAGGAGGAGGAGGAGGAGGAGGAGGAGGAGGAGGAGGAGGAGGAGGAGGAGGAGGAGGACTGTGGGGTCCTAGATGCTCTCTGGGCTGGTGGTTTTCTTGCAGATATTTTATAACCCAACTAGGGAACATTATCAATGCTAGAAGGGAAGTGAGATTTTCTCTCTGTTTACAAACCCCACTCGCTTCTATCATGGTACCTAGCTGGGTAATGTTACCTAGTTGGGTCATGAAACGTCCGCAAGGAAACCACCCAGCTCAGAGAGCACACCAAGGACCCCACAGTCCTCCCTCCTCCGCCTCTTCCACTCTGCAAAGCCACCTCCCTTCCAGCACTAATGACATTACCTAATTTGGGTCACGAAACGTCTGCAAAGGAAACCACCCAGCTCAGAGAGCACCCCAAGGACCCCTCGGTTCAACCCTCAGCTCCCAATATTCTCCCTTATTGGTTTCTGGGCCTTCCCCCACCTCCGCCACACCCACCGCCCCAAACCTCTCCTTCAACTGTCAAAGCCACACACGGCGCTGTCTGCATCACAACGGCCGACCACAGACCAGGTTGATTTCCTAAGCTCGCTAAGTTCACTTGCTTGTCAGCAGACGCTGTCGTAAACCTGCCGGAGCCCAGAGTGGAAACCGCAGAAATATTTTCAGTTGTTCAGAGATAGGGGAAGAGATAGTCATGATCAGGTTTCTGGGAAACAGACTTGAGCGGGCGGGCGCGTACCCTTGGGGAGAGGCAGACAGACAGTTGCTAGCGAAATTTTGCTCTAGAGAGTATTTGTAGCTCAGGGTTGAACTCCTGTAGAACAAGGTTGTAACTCAGGGTGGCATCTAGCACTGATGATGTTACCTAGTTGGGCAATGAAAGGTCTGCAAGAAAACCACCAAGCTCAGAGAGCCGTTAAGGGAGTCACACAGTTGTTAAGCAAATCTGGCTTCCCCTGGACTTTGCTCGTCAGAAGGCCGTGAAACGCGATCGCGTGACCTTGCGACACGGCAACCATCATTGCCACGCATCTGGATTCTGATCCTGTGACCACAGAGAGGCTGCAACGTTGTTAAGTGTGAAAAAGGATCCTTTTCTCTGTGCCACTGTAACTTCAAACAGTCGCTCAACCTGTGGGTCGGGACCCCATTTGGGGTCGAACGACCATTTCACGGGGATCGCCAAACAACGCAGTCCGCCATTTTTTTCCCCCTTTTCCTTAGCTGTGCTCCTCCCTTTTATTCTATTGGCTTTTGAAAGCCAATAGAATAGACTCTCTTGAATAGAGTCTAATTCTATTGGTTTTCAAAAGCCAATAGGAATTGTCCAGGCTGTCTCTGCCCTGCTGAGCCCGCCCAAAGTCCTCTTCTGCAAACGGTGCTGCACCAGTTGAGTAGTCCTGGACTTTCGACCAGTTGAGTAGTCCTCGACTTACGACCAGTTGGGGGTCGCGGCATTAAAAAGGTTGAGAACCACTGCGCTAAAGGAACCGTCAAAGGCCACCTGTACACAGGGCAGATCCTGCGAGCTGTTATTCAGCACCTCTGTCGCGCAGCCATCACCGCTATCCGAAATGGATTGTTTTCAGGAAACCCCCCCCCAAATCTCAGGAAACACCCCCCCCAAAGGCCCCGTTTCCCTACCGAGATCCAGTTCCTCGGCGTCGGCGTATTCACCGTAGGCGGCGCGCAGATCCGAGCTTTCGCACAGGTAGCACTTCAGGTTGCTGATCATCTGCCGCGTCTCCTGAAGCATGTCGGTGCTGGTGGGGTGCCGGGACCCGGCTCCCTGCTGCATGTGCTCCACGAAGTTCTGCACCAGGCCTCCCACGTCCGACGTGGGCTCCTGGACCAGCTCTTGCACCCGCTTGGCCACCCGGCGCTCGAGCGAGAGGAAGCCGGTGAGGGCGCTGCTCATGGCCGAGAGACGGTAGAGCACCTTGTGGGTGAGGGTGGCCGAGGAGGGGCGCCGTCTCTTCTGCGGAGACGGAGTGGGAGTGGCGGGAGGGAGCCCCTCGCCCTCGTCCTCCACGCTGCTGATGGAGAGCGAATCCAGTTCCGGGATGAGAGGCAGCAACATGGAGTCGTTCAGCAACAAGGAATCGGACCGGGCCTTTTTCAAGGTGGGGAAAGTGTCGGCCGAGATGCCTTCCACCCAGGAGACGCGGTGGGGAGAGCGGCCCTGGTTTGGGGGCAGAGTAGGGGACCAGGGAGGTGCCTCGGTTTCTGAACTGTTCCAGGACGGTCTGCGAGGAAGGAAATCCCCTTGCCCGGAGGCTGAGCAGGACAGAGAGTCTGCGGGGAAGAGAGTGGCAAGAAAAGCGTCTATGGGCATGTTAGCCAATCTGTGTTATTCTATCGACCACCCAGAAGGCCAATTGGTCATATTACACAGTGGAATCTACTGATAGAAGAGAAGCTTTGTAGCTCAGGGTTGGGCTGGGGGGCTCCTTGGTGCTCTTTGAGCTTGAGGGTTTCCTTGCAGATGTTTCATGACCCAACTAGGGAACGTCATCAGTCCTAGAGTAGGGAGTGGGGTTTGTAGAGTACAGGAGGAGGAGGACAACTGGGGGGTCCTTGGTGCTCTCTGAGCTGGGTGGTTTTCTTGCAGACGTTTCATAACCCAACTAGGTAGCGTCATCAATGCTAGAAGGGAGTAGGGTTTGTGGTGGTGGTGGTGGTGGTGGTGGTGGTGGTGGTGGTGGAGGAGGAGGAGGAGGAGGAGGAGGAGGAGGAGGAGGAGGAGGAGACAATGGCATCCTTAGTGTTCCCTGAGCTGGATGGTTTTCTTGCAGATGTTCATAACCCAACTAGGTAGCGTCATCAATGCTAGAAGGGATGAGGAGGAGGAGGAGGAGGAGGGAGGAGGAGGAGGAGATGGCATCCTTAGTGCTCCCTGAACTGGGTGGTTTTCTTGCAGACGTTTCATAACCCAACTAGGTAGCGTCATCAATGCTAGAAGGGAGTAGGGTTTGTGGAGTGGAGGAGGAGGAGGAGGAGGAGACAATGGCATCCTTTGTGCTCCCTGAGCTGGGTGGTTTTCTTGCAAACATTTCATTACCAAACTAGGTAATGTCATCAAGGCTACAGCTGGCACTGATGAGGTTCCCTAGTTTGGTAATGAAACGTCTGCAAGACAACCACCCAGCTCAGAGAGCACCAGAGGCCTCACAGTTCGACCCTGAGCTACAAAGATTCTCTTCTGTTGGTAAACAGTGCTCTCAAGGAGCATTATTATTATTATTGTTATTGTTATTATTATTATTACTACTACTACTACTACTATTATCTTTATACCAACAACCCGGACAGCTGCCCGAATCTTACCTTTCCCCACCTTCTCTTCCTCTTCCTGAGACTTGAGATGCTCCAGACCAACTGGGGCTTCTGGCCTTGCCGAGCCATTGGCGAGGCGCAGGGATCCCCCCCTGCCTCTCGAGTGGTACAGGCCGGGGGCCAGGTCGAGCCACTCGATGTCGCTGTGCACGGAAAGGAAGAGCGGGTTCACGATGCAGAGGGCGGCGTCCTCGGACGTCACGCGGATGGAGCAAGAGGGCTGCTTGGACTTCAGAAGGTCCCCCTTGGGTTCCATGCCGCTGGCTTCTGCTTCGTCTGAGGCCAGGCCGTTGGCGGGATGAAGAGGCATCGCCCAGAATGCTGTGGATGGGGGGGGGGGAAACAAAAAACAGGAAATGGAGAACAGGGGAGAACAGGGGCTCTTTGGGGAAGGTGGGGTTCTCCTTAAGCCACCCGAATCGGCAAACTCTCCCCAAATACCAGAGCGGAATGGGGGGGTATTCTCACTCACTTGCGCCCAAGGTGGCAACTGCATCTAAATCAGCTCTGCCGGGAAGCTGAAGGACATGGGGGACCCTGAGCAAACAGGGCAGGATATCCCTGGAAGAGAAGCAGAGTTACAAAAACGACACCCGCTCTTGGCTCAAGGCAGGTCTTCTGTGCTGCCTTTCCCCCGTTATTTATTCTTCAGTTATCCGTTAAATTTCTACGCTGCCCGAAATGTGGGGCGAAATATAAATTTAGAGGAATGGGAAAGATGATGGAACATAATCAGTTAGAGTGCAGTACTGCAGGCCACTTTAGCTGACTGTGTTCAGCAGGTCAGCGGTTCAAATCTCACCGGCTCAAGGTTGACTCAGCCTTCCATCCTTCCGGGGTAGGTAAAATGAGGACCCAGATTGTTGGGGGCAATGTAAATATATATATATATATATATACATTGCTTACTGGTGTACACCGCTTAGAGAGTGCTTGCACTTAAAGCGGTACATAAGTCTCATAAATAAATAAATAAATAAATAAATTGCAAATTGACGCTATCAACTGCATACAGAGAGAATCAATATAAAATGATTTACAGATGGCATTTAACACCGGCGAGATTGGCTGAAATGTATAAAAATATAGACCCGAAGTGTTGGAAATGTAAAATCAGAGAAGGAACATTTTATCACATGTGGTGGCTGTGCCCCAAAGCAAAAAATTGTTGGGAACGAATAAGAGATTGGATACAGGAGATAACGGAGATACAAATGGATTTTAAACCAGAATTATTTCTTTTGGGCATAATAAATTTAAAGATGGAAAAACAACTCCAAGATATCATTATATACATATTGACTGCAGCTCGTATAGCATATGCTCAATGCTGGAAGCGTGAAAATATTCCCATAAATGATATGATTATGTACCAAATCTTGGAATGCGCAGAAATGAATAAACTCACGTTAGAATTAAAAGACAAGGAGGCGACAGAATTTTATGAAATTTGGAATAAATGTTATAATTGGCTAGAACAGAGAAAGGAAAAGACATAATTACTGATGTACATAAAATGTAAGTAAGATGTAAAGAATGCTTAAAATGTTCTGTTAAAAGAAAAGATTTATGTTTATGTATTTTAAGTTTGTTTGGGTGTATGGTGAAAAATAATAAAAAAAATTTTTTTTAAAAAAATTCTATGCTGCCCATCTCCTATACAAGGGGACTCTGGGTGGCTTACAAATGATAGAAACCAACAAAAAACAGTTAAGGGGTTGAAAAGTTAAAACGAGCCCTTAAAGATTAAAACTTTGCACCATGGCGGCTGTTTTAAAGTGGGGGGCTCCTAGCCTATTTGGGGGGGTGTGGTCTGAGATGCCTAAACCTCCTCTTTTGATTCAAAAGTTGGGAAGGTCTTCCAGGGAAATGAAACATTTGGGAAAGGGCAGCTGCTAGGAGCCTCCCTCTGGATCTCAGAAATATCTGGCGCTTACCAAATTAATTAAGGTCACATTCAGCACCCGTAGGTTCCCCCCCCCAGCCCAGCCCACTTCAACACCACCACCTCCCTCTCCCTGGTGCTCACCTGCTCACAAAATGAAAGCCAATCAGCTCCAAAAGGTTTCTGAAGTACAGCTGAGAACCTTTGAGGTGAATGGCTGCTGGTGAAAGAAAGAAAGAAAGAAAGAAAGAAAGAAAGAAAGAAAGAAAGAAAGAAAGAAAGAAAGAAAGAAAGAAAGAAAGAGGGGGAGGGAGGGAGGGAGGGAGGGAGGGAGGAAGGAAGGAAGGAAGGAAGGGAAAAAAGAAAGAAAGAAAGAATAATTTGTTTAGTGATCGTCTGAAGTTAAAAGTGACTTATGATCATTTTCCCCACTTACAACCGTTGCAACATCATCCCTGTGGTCACGTGATCAAAATCCAGCCGCTTGGCAACTGACTCATATTTAGGACGGTCACAGTGTCCCCGGGGTCACGTGATCCCCCTTTGCGACCTTCTGACACGCAAAGTCAAAGGGAGAGGGAAGCCAGATTCACTTCACAACCGTACTACTTAACAACTGCAGTGATTCACTTAACAATTGTGGCAAGCGAGGTCACACAACGGGTGGTGGAAATCCACTTAGCAGCTGTCTTGCTTAGCGACAGAAACTTTGGACTATCTGTAGGTCAGTGGTTCTCCACCTGGGGATCGGGACCCCATTTGGGGTCGAACGGCCATTTCACGGGGGTCCCCAAACAAGGCTGTCCGCCATTTTTTCCCCTTTTCTTTGGCCACGCCCCTGGCACCCGGTGATGTATAAGTGGTTGGGGGTCACCACAACATGGGGAACTGTATTATGGGGTCGCGGCATTAGAAAGGTTGAGAACCACTGCTGTAGGTGATCGCCATGGGGGAGGGGGGAACAAAGGAAGGGTTCCTCTTTGGCTGGCGATTACTAAGGAGGGCACGTGCTTTATCGTCAGAATAACCTCTTCCCATTTTTTTTTTCCTTCACAATTTCCAACTGAAGGTGAAGAGGGGGGGGGGGAAAAGAGCCTGCAAAATGACTTGTAGGATGCCCCAACAGCCTGACTCAACAGCTCCCTTGCTTGATTGGGACACATCCGTAGGTCACAACAGAACTTCTGGAGGGCATAAGGAAGTCTGAAATTCAACTCCTGAGGCTTCTGGTTGGAAAAAAAAAAAAAGGTTCTCAGGGCCCGGATCATCTCAGGAAGAGCTAATCAAACTCAGCAGGGAAGAAAATGCTGAACCAAGTGGGATGGATGGATGGATTGGGTCAGGGGGAGATCCCAGCCTAGAACTAAGGAGAAATTTCCTGACAGGGAGAACGGTTAGTCAATGCAAGAGCTTGCCTGCAGAAGTTGTGGGTGCTGCAATCACTGGAGGCTTTCAAGAAAAGACTGCACAACCCTTTGTCTGGGATGAAATAAGGGACTCCTGCCTTGAGCAGGGGGGGTTGGACTAGCAGACCTCCAAAGGTCCCGTCCAGCCTTAAGATTCTGATTCTATGTTTTGGTGTATGTTCTCCATGTACTTCCTTCCTCCAGGGGAGGGATGAGGATCTTGAAAACTCTGTTTTTCATAGGCCAAGAGCCTCTTCTTTTGAAAGTATCAAGATTTCCTTCTATATCGAGGCAAGAAACACAGAAGCTATAGTGCAGGGGTTCTGAACCTTGGCCACTTTAAGACTTGTGGACTTCAACTCCCAGAATTCCTCAGCCAGCTTTGCTGAATTGAATTCTGGGAGTTGAAGTCCACAAGTCTTAAAGTGGCCAAGGTTGAGAGCCCCTGCTATAGTGTAAGCTTTCCAATAAATATTAAAATAGTTTAAAATCTACAACGTCAAGGGCCTTTTGATGGTGGATGGCATAAACAGCTGAATACTGCATGTAAAATAAAATAGCTTTGAGAACATAAATCGACACGATCAGCTCTTTAGCCTATTAGCTAATCCAGTAGCCTGTTCTTACAGCGGTCAACCAACCTGCTCATCTCCCTCCAGATGGCCTTCAGGGACAGTCCCAAGGCCATCAAGATCAAGAGCTGTTATTCTCCGGGAATTCTACAAATTACTCCCTTTTTAAAAGCCAGATAAACTGGTCCCCAGCCCCGCATCTCAGAATCACAAATTCCAAAGCTTAATTGTGCATTGTGTAAAAAAAAAAATATATGTTTTCCCCTTTTCTCTGTCCTGATTCTTCCAGGATTCAATTTCCCAGCATGATTTATAGTTCTAGCACTACGATCACAAGAGGGCCCAAAATTGATGTTGCTAAGCGAGACATTTGTTAAATGTTAAAGTAGACCCCCCCCCTCACCCTGACGTGGACCCCCCGCCTTTCTTCCTCTTGATGAGAAAGTGGCTTCGCTCCTTTGTTCATTTCCTTAAGTCAGTGTTTCCCAAACTTGACAATTTTAAGGCATGTGGACTTCAACTCCCAGAATTCCACAGCCAGCAATGCTGGCTGTGGAATTCTGGGAGTTGAAATCCACATGCCTTAAAATTGTCAAGTTTGGGAAACACTGCCTTAAGTTTACCTGGGAAGAAGCTGTCCCACTTCAGAAGAGAGAGAGGAAAGAGACAGAAACCAGCTATATACATTCAGCACATTGCTTTCCCTAGAAGCAAGCTAGGATAACAAACACCGGTTTAGCACAAGGAAGTAATTCCTCACCTGTGGTTCAGCCCAGAGACGGGGAACGCAGATGATAAAACAACCCAAGCTGGGGAACGGAGGGAAAAACGTAGCCCAAACGGCCAGTCTCTCGGTCAAGAATCTATGGAGGCTGCCAGCTACCAAGGCGAGCGTGCGCCCTGCGAGAACTGGCCCTTGCCAGCTTCTCCAAACTACTTCCCTTTTTTTAAGTAGAAGGAAATGAGGTTTTGAAATTCCCCCGACGAGACGAGATGAGCGTTGAGGTCCGGCAACTGGGGCAAGGAAGTAGTTCAAGCGTGGACGTTTCCTATTTTCCCACCCTTCTGATTCTCGTCGTGAAATCGAGCACGGAAGTGAAATTCTGGGGGGCTGTCAGAGAAGGGAAAGGAAGGTCTCCTGGCTTCTCCTCTGCGTGTCTTAGCTCGAGAACCCCAAAAGCTGAAGGCGGATTCAGAGGGTTCATTCGTGCAGCCTCCTCGTGGGAAAGAAACCCCAAAGTCTTTCCGTCATAAAGGGTTAGGACGGTGGGGTCCCTGGTGCTCGCTCAGCGTGGTAGTTTTGCTGCAGACGTTTCCTCACCACACCAGGTAACATCATCAGTGGGGTGACGTTGCCTAGTTTGGTAATGAAAGGTCTGCAAGAAAACTACCAAGCTCAGAAAGCACCAAAGACCCCACAGTTCTCCTCCTCCTCCTCTTCTTCCTCTTTCTCCCCCACTTCTCAACCCCCCTTCCTTCTAGCACTGAAGATGTTCCCTGGTTGGATAATGAAAGGTCTGCAAAAACCCACCAAGCTCGGAAAGCACGAAGGACACCACAGTCTCCTCCTCCTCCCCATAAATATGCTCTCTTCTAGCACTGATGATGATACCTAGTTGGGTCATGAAACGTCTGCAACAAAACCACCAAGCTCAGAGAACACCAAGGACTCCACAGTCCACCTCCTCCTCCTCCCCCCTCCTCCTCACAACCCCCCCTGCTTTCTAGCATTGAATATGTTCCCAGGGTGGATAATGAAGTATTTGCAAAAACTACCAAGCTCAGAAAGCACCAAGGACCCCACAGTTGTCTCCTCCTCCTCCTCCTCCTCACAACCACCCTCCTTTCTAGCACTGAAGATGTTCCTTAGTTGGGTCATGAAACGTCTGCAAGGAAACAGCCGAGCATAGAGAGCACCAAGGACCCCACAGTCATCTCCTCCTCCTCCCCATAAACCCACTCTCTTATAACACTGATAATTCTAGCTCAGGGGTTCTCAACCGTGGCAACTTTAAGACTTGTGGACTTCAACTCCCAGAATTCCTCAGCCAGTCCACAAGTCTTAAAGTTGCCAAGGTTGAGAACCCCTGTTCTAACTAGTTAGGTAGTGAAACATCTGCAAGAAAAGAATCAAGCGCAGAGAGCGCACTAAAGACCCACAGTCCTCCTCCTCCCCTTCACAACTTCCCCCCCCCTTTCTAGCATTGAAGATGTTTTACCTAGTTGGGTCACGAAACATCTGCAAGGAAACCACCCAGCTCAGAGAGCACCAAGGACCCCTCAGTTCAACCTTGAGCTGCGAAGATTCTCTTCTAACGTTAAGACGGTCTGAATATATTTTTCGCACTGGTTTGAAAATGCAGCTTAATGCTGTATCGTTCCACGGGAGTGTCACGTGTCCGTGTTCACCTCCCAGGGATAGAAGGCTCAAGTACGAAAGCGACTCACCTGGAGTGTCTTCAAGAGGGAAAAGGCCAACAACCTTATTGTCACTTTCCGGTAACCGGAGGTAAAGTGTCTTGACGGCGTCATTCCCATTGGTAGCAACGATGAATGACTGGAAGAGGTGAAAATGGAGACAGCAGGGTGGCTGGAAAATCACATCACACAACGAAACTATCACCCATTCTCCTAAACACCCATTTCTCTCACCCTTTCAGTAGGATTTATATTCGTTAAACATTTATGCAACCCATCTCCCTGTGACAGCCACTCTGGGAGGCTTAAAATATAATAAAAAGGTAAAAACGACGATACCAAGTGATTAAAATTAAGAGGATTAAACAGGAAGCCAAAAACCAAAAGAATGGGGGATGTGGGAGTGCTGTCTTCCCTCTATTCCCTCTATTCAAGATGGACAGTGATTAATCTTTATATGTTACTAATATGTAAGGGTGCAGGTCTCTACATATGTTGCACATAGTCTGTTTAAATGCGTGTTATACATGTGTACACTTTGAGAGCAAGCAACTAAATTTCATTTTTAATGTGTGCCTTTGTGCTCACAGTAAAAAATGACAATAAAGTATGTCTGTCTGTCTATCTATTCTATCTGACAATAAAGGTTGTCTGTCTGTCTGTCTGTCTGTCTGTCTGTCTATCTATCTATCTAGCTACCTACCTACCTACCCACCTACCTGACAATAAAGGTTATCTGTCTGTCTGTCTGCCTGCCTGCCTGCCTGCCTGCCTGCCTGCCTGCCTGCCTATCTATCTATCTATCTATCTATCTATCTATCTATCTATCTATCTATCTATCTATCTATCTATCTATCTATCTATCTATCTATCTATCTATCCATCCATCCATCCATCCATCCACCCACCCACCCACCCACCCACCCACCTATCTAATCTATCTATCTATCTATCTATCTATCTATCTATCTATCTATCTATCTATCTATCTATCTATCCATCCATCCATCCATCCATCCATCCATCCATCCATCCATCCATCTATCTGACAATAAAGATTATCTATCTGTCTGTCTATCTGTCTGTCTGTCTATCCTCTCTGCAAGGAGTATAAATCCTTCCATTCCTCACCATCCAATCAGAGCTGAAGAAGCTTCTTGGCTAAGAAGCAAAGAAAAACCAGAAAGTCCAGTTGTCTCTTGAAAAAGCACCTTTGGGACAAAGCAACCTATCATCCCCCCTCAATCATCAACTGCCATTCGTAACTAGGGGAGGATGGGAAGTGTAATCCAGCAGATATAGGGCGGGTTGTAATTGAAGGATTACACCTACAGGAGATGTTAGTGAGATTTAATTTACTTTCCTACCCTTTCAACCCTGTGTACCAGAAGCCACAAATCAGGTCTGGCAAGTAAACTCAGGAACAGGTAGGCCTTGACTTACCACCATTGATTTAATGGCCGTTCAAAGTTACAGGAGCACTTGAAAAAAGGGACTTATGACTTTTTTTTGTGCATCCCCAGCCGTGTGATCAAAATTCGGTCACTTAAGACGGCTGCAGTGTCCTGGCGTCACGTAGTCCCCTTTTCTGCGACCTTCTGGCCAGCAAACGTCAATCAAGGGGAGAGCCAGATTCACTTAACCACCCTGTTACTAATTTTAACAACTGCAGTGGTTCACTTAGTGACTGTGGCAAGAAAGGTCAGAAAACGGGCGAAACTCAACTTAACAAATGCCTCGCTTAGCCATGGAAATTCTAGGCTCCACGGTGGTCGTAAGTAGAGGACTACCTGTACAGAGGACGCAATTGGCCCAATCCCAACAAATCCACAGAGTCCTCAGTTTTGCAGGAAAGAAAACCTGGGTTTTCGAAAAACTTCTAAAAAAGGGTCACTCACCCCCCGTTGGTGCGGCGAGAGCAGCTTCTTGACTTGCTCTGGCTGGACATCCAGAAGCTCCCAAACGCCCCTCGTGGCCGACAGCCTTTCCAGAAGTGGGGTGCGATGGCTGGGTTCTCCAAACCCCACCGTCTTCTCTGACCTACAAAAGAGAAAAGGCAAAGAAAAGAAGCCGAAGGCGGGCCGGTTGGCTTTTTGCTGCCAAAATAACTCCGGTCTCATATGCTACTTTTAATATAATATACTTTGTTGTTGTTGTTGTTGTTAATTGCGAAGTCGTGTCCGACCCATCGCGACCCCATGGACAATGTTCCTCCAGGCCTTCCTGTCCTCTACCATCTTCTGGAGTCCATTTAAATTCACCCCTCCTGCTTCAGTGACTCCATCCAGCCATCTCATTCTCTGTCGTCCCCTTCTTCTCTTGCCCTCCATCTTTCCCAGCATTAGGCTCTTCTCCAGTGAGTCCTTCCTTCTCATTAGGTGGCCAAAGTATTTGAGTTTCAACTTCAGGATTTGGCCTTCTAAAGAGCAGTTGGGGTTGATCTCTTCTAGGACTGACCGGTTTGAACGCCTTGCAGTCCAAGGGACTCGCAGGAATCTTCTCCAGCACCATAGTTCAAAGGCCTCAATTCTTTGGCGCTCAGCCTTTCTTATGGTCCAACTTTCACAGCCAGACATTGCAACTGGGAAAACCATGGCCTGGACTATACGCACTTTTGTTGGCAGGGTGATGTCTCTGCTTTTTAGTATGCTGTCTAGAATTGCCATAGCTTTCCTCCCCAGGAGCAAGCGTCTTTTAATTTCTTGGCTGCAGTCCCCATCTGAGGTGATCTTGGAGCCCAGAAAAATAAAATCTGTCACTACCTCCCTTTCTTCCCCATCTATTTGCCAGGAATTGAGAGGGCCGGATGCCATGATTTTGGTTTTCTTAATGTTGAGTTATAATATACTAGAGGATGGAATACATCAATTTTGATCATAGGTGGGATTTGCACAAGGTCCCACTCGAGTCCCAGCAGGGGTTGACCTTATTAAACCAGCCCAGCTTCTGCCATTGTTAAAGCAGAGTTGACGGCTCAGCTGGTGGTGTGAACCGGCCAACACTTAATTTATTCAATGAAACAGTATAACAGAATAAAAGAATCGGAAGGGACCTGGGAGGTCTACTAGTCCACCCCCTGCTCAGGCAGGAAACCCTACACCATTTCAGACAAATGGTTGTCCAATCTCTTGTTCAAAACCTTGGTTTTATTACTTTCATTTCTAAAAAAATATTTTTTATTTCTTTTATATTGTATTTTTATTTCCTGTAAGCTGCCGTGAGCGAGTATGAGGCAATATACATTTTCCAAATAAATAAATTCAATGCAGCCGAGGAAGTCAACCCAATAGATGCCATCTGGCTTTTTCCTGGGATAGGCAAATGGCTTAAAAAAAGCTGTCAGCAGAACTCCCTGGCCGTCCAATGGGTGGTAGCCCCACCTCCTATGGAGAGTCCAGCCAAAATTTAGTCCTGAACTGAGATTAGAGCAGCTTTTGAGCCAGACACTACACCAGGTCGAACGTGGCAGGTTTAGAAGTGACACAAGACTCTCCTTGGATGTCCTACCCTTGGCTTTGTACGGACTTCAACTCCCAGCATTCCCCTTTCTCCTTCCAGGAATTCTAGGAGCTGAAGTCCACACATCTGCAAAGTTGTTGAGGTTGAGAAACACCGGACTACAAGCTCTCCACATAACCAACTGGGCAGACAGGCATGCCTCTTTCTTGACCCAGACGTGCACGCAGACCCTCTCCTTACCCTGAGCCTGCTCCCATGTGCTCTTTGCTGGCGTCAACCATGATCTCCATCATTGCTCATTCCCACGAGACTCCGGTTAATCAGCAAGTCCTCTTCTCCCGATCCAACTTTCCAGCCTGTTTTTCTTTTGAGGGCTGGTCTCGGAATGTTCTGCTGGAGAAGCAGAAGACGTCAGAGAGATGAATCTGGGCCCCAGGTTTCCACAGGTGGGGAAAAGATAGCAGCGGTGAAAGACTTGTCCGTGACCCAGGTCAACTAAACAATGACCTGATGAAAGAGGTTGATATTTGTGAGATGGGGGCGGCTATACGAATGGGACAAGTCAATAAGTAATTTGCTCTCATAGGATGCAGTAAAACTTGCTCTCCAAAAGCCCATCTGCCATGACTAAAGAATTCCACGGATCAGTAGAGTATTTGTAGTTCAGGGTTGAAATGAAGGGTCCTAGTCCCTCTCTGAGCTTGCAGATGTTTCATGAACCAAGCGAGGGAACATCATCAGTGCTAGAAGAAAGTGTGTGTGTGGGGGGGAGGAGGAGGACAGTGGGGTCCTTCATGCTCTCCAAGCTTGGTGGTTTTCTTGCAGATGTTTCCTTACCCAACTAGGCCACATCAAGGGGTCTGTTACTAGTTTGAGTAATGAAATGAAAACAACCAAGTTCGGAGAGCACCAAGGACCCTTAATTCTATTTGAAACCACCAATGTATGTGTCAATACATATTAATCATATACATATACTTAAAGCGGTATATAAGTCTTATAAATAAATAAATAAATATAACGGATAATAGATGCCTCCTGGCCTCCATCCACAGGGAATTAACCCCATAAGCCCCACCCTCTTGAAAGCTCCCACCGTTCGGAGAATTAATCATACGCACACACCTACATCTAAATGAAAGATGTTCAGGGTCCAGGGAAGGTGCTTTAGAAGGACGTTTTCCCTTCCAAACGGCCTCTTCCTCTTCAACGGCTGCCTTAGTAGCTCAGAGCAGATCCGGCTGCAAGGGAGACCCACGCCCACGTGCCTCTGTCAGCAGGCAAAATGGCGGACAGAGTCGATGCTCAGCTCTGAAAGGAAGGCAAACATCCTGCCTGCAGAAGCCAGCGCTCAGCAAAACGCCAAACGCATCCATGCCGTTGTGCCAACAGTCATTTCTGGCCTTCCTCCCACACGTACCGCAAAGTTCTAGGTGCCTTTGAATATCTGCATCCCAAAAAGGTGGTTTGAGGCCCCACGATCGCTTCCAACAAACAAGCCGAGGCCCCCGAAAAGCTTTAGCAGCAGGCAATAAATCCAGCAAAAGGGAATATTTTGTAGCTCAGGCTGAAATGACAGGGTCCTTGGTGCTCTCTGAGCTTGGTTGCTTTCTTGCAGATGTTTCATCGCCCAAACTAGGTAGCGTCATCAGCACTGCTGATGTTACCTACTTTGGATAATGAAACATCTGCAAGAAAACAAGCCAACTCAAAGAACGCCACAATAAGTCCAGCATTCATTCCCCCGAAATAGGATTTTACCTAAAGAGATTTGGGTTAGCTTCCCCGAGGCTTGTAGGGATAAGTAAATCTTTTCTCCTCAAGCCTGCCTTAACCTGCCTGTTTGGAATTGAAGCCCGCAGTTCTGCTCAAAATGCCCACCTCAACAGTTAGAAGATCATCTTACCTTGCGGCGGGCAGGCAGAAAGGTGAAATGCCAGTTACGAAATCTCTATGCCAGCGGCCACTCACGGATCAGCAAAAGGTGAGTGAAGAAAGGCAGGGGCTGACGCACTTCAGCTGTGGGAGACAAAGGCAGGGATGTGGTTGACACCTCCACCAATTGCCTTCACGTGGCTCTGGGGCTTCCGCCATTCACTTCAAAGAAAGGCAGCTAAAGAGAAAATAAAAGTGGGCCGTAAAGCCTCCATTAGAAAAACATTTGAGCAGACATGCTGGATCAGAAAAGACACCTAATTTAATCCAGGTTCCTCTCTTGCTCTTCGGTGGCCAACCAGCTGCTTCTGAGAAGCTCACAAATGAACGCACCACATACGCTTCTCAGCAATGGCCTCCAGTACTAAGAGGTGACACAATACCATCCTGCTTCGTAGTTTTCAAGTGCCTTCCCCTTCTTGAATTTAAGATTTCTTTTTTTGTTTTCCAAAGCCTTCCAACAGAGCCACCAGCCTTAGATCAACAGATTCATGATGCACCAGGAGAAAGAATTCTGGAAGAAAACCTCACGGCTGTGTGAAGCTGAAAGGCAAGAAGGAAGATTAGTTTGGGCAGAAACTCCCTTAAGGTAAAACTGAGGCAGGTAGATGAACTTCAGAGAAGTCTTAAGTCAGTCTCAGCAACTCTGTGTGTCTAGGCTACCTGGGGATTTCTGGGAAGGGAAGTCCACGCATCTGAAAGAGGCTGAGATTGAGAAACGCTGAAGGCGATTAGCACAAAAGCTCAAGGAGTCGGTGATGCTTCCAAAGTGAAAAGTGTTTTAAAAAGCAATTTCCCGTTTTCTTTTTTCAAATCTTTAGCCTATTTCTAGAGATCTTTAGAAACTCGTACACCTTTTAGTAACAGTTCAATTGATCTAAGAAAAGAGTTGCCCAACTACGGTCTTTGGGTTTTGTTTTTTTCCCCCCAAACTGGGAATGCTTTTGCAAATTTCTATTATAATCCAGGTTTTTTTTTTTTTAAAAAATAGTATATAACATGTAAACATTGGCACATAAAACCAAGCTCTTTATATGTGAAGCCCTTACTTATGCTAGCAACTAGACCGGGGATAGGCAACCTTGGCTCTTTTATGACTCGTGGATTTCAGCTCCCAAAATTCCTGAGCTGGCTCAGGAATTCTGGGAGTTGAAGTCCACGAATCATAAAAGAGCCAAGGTTGCTTACCCCTGATTAAACCATTCAAGAGTTGCTTTTACCGTAAAATACTCCTCTCGTACCTCTATCTGAAAAATATAGAAATTTCTTTAATTGTAGCAATTAAAAAAACCTTGCAATCGATGGCACGGAACTATCAGCTAGTGCCCAGAGCTATTTTGCTGTAACCTATGACCCCAGAAAACTGAGGAGAAAGTTAAGAGCTGTCGCTCAGTATAGAAACCAGAGAAAGATTGCATCCATGTTAAACTTTGTAAAAGGAAGTTTCACTTTGTGTCCGCTAGAGGACACTAAATTCCAACCCCTGAATTACTACCTGTTTTGCTGATTTGTGCCACAAGAACAGGTGCTAACTACACCAATGACACTCAGTCTTCTTGAAATAAATACAGGAAGGCAGAAAAAAAACCCCAACATATTATCTTGTGGTATCAAGCTGATTGTATTTAATTGTCACAGCTGACAGCTTCATATAAATGATGGAAACAAAAGTATCACAGAATGTTAAAACTGCTAACCTGCATAAATCAACAGTAATGAAACACTTCAAACTATGCTTCTCCAAAAGCGCTTTCCTAGGTAGGTAGGTAGGTAGGTAGATAGGTAGGTAGATAGACCCATAAATAAGGGCTGAACAGAAGTTATAATCAAATCTCATTTTGTCTATTTTTTCCTCTAAGGCAATTAGAACAAATTTCTGAAGTTAACTGGAAATTAATCAAACTCACCCTCCCAACACTAATAAAGAGAGGCTCTAAAGCAGAGGTGTCCAATCTTGGCAACTTATGGACTCCAACTCCCAGAATTGCCCAGGCAGCATGCTGCCTTGGAAATTCTGGGCGTTGAGGTCCACAAGTCTTAAAGTTGCCAAGTTGGGCACCCCTATTCTAAAGAAATCTCCAAGAAATACTGCTAAATTAACAATTCAATCATAATTTCAGCTGTTCATGGCTTCAATCGTGCCGATGAGACCTATTTTTGATTACATTTATCTTGAACTCCATGACCTCCCCCAAAATCTTTGATGCTACAAGAAGGCCCCAAGCATCCCCAGTTTGTGTCGAGGTGGGTTTTTTTAATTATCAAAAAGTAGAGTTCCTCAATCTTCTCTAATCTCTTCATTCTTCTTTGTTTGCAGGTGGCTTTTCTTTCTCCAAAGATGGATTCTGTTCTTGCTTCTTGGCTGGTTGCCGATCAGCACCTGCCCCGACACCCACAATCTGTCCTGATTTGGCCTCAATGACAGCGTGTTCATTTTTCACAAGTTCCTCCAGTTCTTCCTAAGGGGCAGAGGGGGGAGAACAGAGAAAACCACGTAAGGAAGATAACAGAAACTTAATTTGCTCAGAGTTGGCAAGCCACCCCTTTCCCCCAATAAGATCCCAGAGGGAGCCTAAGAGAACCCCATTGATTTTTACATCTGGGCTGTTCTCGGTGATTTTGAACCAGGAGAGATACCTTCCATCCCAACAGCTCTGCCAAAGCCAGGCAGCCCTCATCGCAGTCTCCGAGCCAGGCAACATCCCTGAAAAATGAAGAATTGTGAATAACGGAACTCCAATTTATTGGTATTTATTCAGAGCTTACATAGCATGCCAGGACAGATACATCTTTTCTTCCAGCAATCTTTACAAACACTTTGTGATCAGCTTGATCTCCCTCGCAGGAACATCTCCCTAACACACCTGGGCTATGAAGACCAAGAGTGGCCTCCCTAAAGCCACCAGGTGAGCTCAGCATATGTAGAGGTGAGAGACAGGCAAAGGTCGTGTGTGGAAAACTGCCCCTCCAACGCTTGTGTTTCCTCTGCATCTATCTCCCCCCCCTCACATCACCATAGTGATGTGAATGTACGCAGGTCTGTGTGACCTTGTTTCTCTGATAACAGCTAGCACGCAAACAACAAGATTCTATTAACTATTCCTTGTGTTTGGCCTCTGACTTATATATTCTTGAGGACTGGTTAGGAGCTTAACCAATGAAATGCTATTGTCATGTAGTAACTTTTGCTTTTTGGAATCTGTATATAAACAATAAACTGCTGCATGACAGCGGCCATTTCTTTGCACCCTGCCATGACTGAGCACTGATTACTACATATGGCGCCCTCAAGCAGGGACATTTGGTTTTGGGGCCCCTCCGGGAAGAAGCAGCTACCAACATATTATCATCGTCTGGAACAGACCCCTAGGTGCACTTTCGTCTTAAGAGACCTCTCAGTGTGAGTATGGGCTGCAAATTATTCCACCCCAGCAAAAGCATGTACAAAAACTTAGATTCTTGCTACATAACTCAAACGTGGCAACATTTGAAGCAGACACAAGGGAGCTGGCGGGCGGGAATAGGAAAACAGTGTTCTTCAAATCCTGAGCATTGGACGCTTAGGCTAAAAGATAGGGCATAAATTACATCTTGAACCTTGGGCTCCAGTATAAACATCGATAGTATTCAGTGCCGTCAGGCAAGGGGAAAAAATATGGCTCAAATGCTTCAGAAGGGCAGCAATTAACTACCAGCCCCCCTTCTGCTTGGAACTAAGTAAAATTTATTCCTCCTACAACATCTTTAATTGGATTTTCAGCTTCTCCTGAAGAGGCTAATTCGTCTGCTGTTTATTTAGAGAATGTACTCCCTCTGTAAAGTGTTTTGAGCAATTGGAATGGTTTCAAACTCCTCTGCAATCTGTTAAGTTTAACCCTGTTAGACAAATGTCTGGTGGTGCTTTTGTGCTATGTATGTGTGTGTATCGCCACTCAGAACATTATGCTTGGGCTTGGAATGGTGAGAAAAATGGGAGATGATTAAGGGCCCTCAAAACCACTTTTTGGTTGAAATCACCTTGTCATTTTTCTCACTTCTTACAGGACAAGTCATATGTTTAAATAAATGTTGTAACAGTATTTGTGTATATACATTTGTCTGTGTTGTTCTGTGTTATGTCCACGACTTGGAAGAGGGTTAAAACCCTCTCTGATAACGACAATACAAAAAGGCCTTGTTAAGAATATATGGTTTGCCTGGAGAAAGTATGAAATGAAATATTTGTATGTGAAATGGTTTTATGCAGTCAGTATGGAACTGAATGAGTTAATTTGTTGAAGTGTGTGTTAGCCTTCAAAACCCACCCATTCTCTCCCAAACTGTGAAAATAATAGTAAATATTTGTATGAGAGAACTTATGGAAAATGCATATGAAGGAGAGAAAACTATTTTTTTGGTGGTGAGATTCCCCCCCCCCCTTCTCTTTCGGCTGGCTGCATTGCTTAAAGAGTGAGAGACAGAAGGAGGGGGAGCTGTTTGTTTAAAAAAAAAAAAATTCCCTCTGCTTGGAATTGCGATCTGAGAAGGGTGGAGTGAATCTGAAAGTTGACATTCACTTATGCAGTTTCGACAAATAATTTTTTACTCAAAAGAGGAAACAGTAATTGTTGGACAATATTTTTTAAGGGAAAAGTATATTGGATTGAATAATATTTACTTACCCCACATCCCATCCCAAAATGTTTAATTTTTATCCAGGTGGTTGCTAAAATGGTAACCTTAGGATGCACACAAGCTTGCCGTCGAAAAGGAACTGATTTAATTAATATTGATCTCAAAATCTGATTATTAATATTGTTTTCAAAAATAACTTATCTCTTTAATGTGCTTTAACTGACTATATAAGCCAGTGGTTTTCAACCTTTTTAATGCCGCGACCCAACCGGTTGTATTCCCTATCCAACCGGTCGTAAGTCGAGGACTACCCAACCGGTTGTTAGTCGAGGACTATCCAACCAGTCGTAAGTCGAGGACTACCCAACCGGTTGTAAGTCGAGGACTTTCCCTGCCTGGGAGCGCCGCGCATGCGCGGTGCCGCCCCCTGCGCCGGCCGAGGCGTAGCTGGCAATGGGCAGCGACGGCGCAGGGTGATCACCGGCTGGGCCACCAGCTGGCCCAGCCCAAGGGAGGTAAGGCACCCGCCGGGCCCCACGTGGCAGTAGCACAACTAAGGAAAAGGGGGAAAAAATGACGGAAGGCCTTGTTTGGTGACCCCCGTAAAATGGTCAATCGACCCCATAGCGATGTGAATGTATGCAGGTCTGTGTGACTTTGTTTCTCTGATAACAGCTAGCACACAAACAACAAGATTCTATTAACTATTCCCTATGTTTGGCCTCTGACTTATATATTCTTGAGGATTGGTTAGGCGCTTAACCAATGAAATGCTATTGTTATGAAATAACTTTTGCTTCTTGGAATCTGTATATAAACAATAAACTGCTGCATGACACCGGCCATTTCTTTGCACCCTGCCATGACTGAGCACTGATTACTACAAGCATATGGACCACAAAGTTGCATTAGGTACACCAAGGGACCGGAGGATGTCAGAATCAAGAGAAATACACAGCAATTATTGGCTTAAGCTGTAACTTCTGTCTCTTACCCAAGACTTGTTTTTTTTGTGCCAAAGCACTGAACACTCTGCAGTCCCCATGAGTCAATGGGTGCCTTAAGTTCTCAGCACCTGCCCAGCCACAGTGAACTTGCCTGTATGCCTTCTCCGAATCAAAATCCATCCCGCAGCCTAAGCCCATCAGGGACATGGAAGGATCACTCTGAAATGAGACCAAAAATGTAAAAATGTCCTCTAGGAGGGCTCCAAGATGACCCGGAGGGGGATACGCAGGCGATGTTGCCTACGCTAAAAAGCTTAAAAAAAAAAAAGTCCAGAGCAACAAGACAGCAGCATTCAGAAGCAGCTCAAGCCGATGCCTTCCTGATCCACAGAAGTAATGCCAGCTCAGGAATTCTGGGAGTTGAAGTCCACAGCCTGGAAAGCTGCCATGGCCTCCCACTCCTGTTCTTTCCCCAGGAGTGGGGAATCTGCAGCAGACCAAAGAAAGCAGGCTGAAAACCTAACCTTACCTCTCCAGTCTTCTCCTTATTGATCAGAAGCCGTGGTGTGTTTGCAGGTACGCTGAAATAAATGGAGAAGAGGAACAATTTAGCAATGGTGCCTGCGGCGTCTTGGTTCAGAAAACCGAGCCCTTGCTTGAGCAGCCGAGGTTCACTGACCTGCTGACCAGGGAGGAAAAAGGCTCGACCTGAAGTGAGGTGCCCATGATAATAAGCAGGTCCACATTCTGGGAATCCTGCAAGCAGAAGGTTCGCGTGAAGGATGGCGGGCACCACAGAACGGCATCCCAGGTTCCAATCTGGTTTCAAAGTCTCTTTCTCTGAAATCGTGCTTTCTGGATAGATTGCTTTGACCTATAACTCCAACTCTATTTGTAGCGTGAAACCTAGCTCCTTTTGTGTCCTATTTTCTCTCACCAGATTGATTCATCCTAACCAATCAGGGATGAAGTGGGAAGAATTTATCCCATCTGATAAATTAGCATACAAGACTAACTGTCATGTACTCTTGCTTTAAGACCAATAGATGGGTCCTCAAATCTTTCCCTCAGCTCTAGGAGGAAGAGTTGGGGGGTCTTCCAATTCGGGGGCTTGCTCATTACATAAACAGTTCAGCTGTTCGGATGCTTCTCCCTCTAGGTTGGACGCAATGGTATCGACCATGGCCCCCGGGTCCGGGTGGAGATAGGCCCAGCAATTCAAATGAGAGCGCACTTGGTTGAGGAAAAAAACCAGCTTCTCTCAGGCCTAGAGACAGCGGATGGAGTTCAGGACCCCAGGTCGATTGAAAAGAATTTGAGCTCTTAACATGTTGTCATGGTTCTGACTAATGAAACACTTCAAAGAACTTCCAGGCATTTTATCCTAAAAAAGTCTTTTTATTTATGTGACAAAATGTCAGCACAGGCATGATGAAAAGGAATGCTAAGATCTGAAGTTCCCACCCACCGAGCAGTTATTTTTGCTAGCGTTCCCCTTCCTTATTTTGCTGTCATGATTTATGTTCTCCAATTAGTTTGAAGGGCAAAGGTTCCCTTCCTTTCCCTTTCCCGGGCTTTTCCCTCCTCCCTCATTCTCCTCTGCATTAACTCTAAAAATACCAGACAGTTCTGCATATTTTGTCAAAGCAAGAATATTCAATATTAGCACTGTTGACACTAACATCAGTTCGTCTGGGAAATTTTAACCCTTAAAATAAGGACTCAGAAATCCTGGCTCTTGGGAGACCTCCAACGTGGGGCTGCCGGCGTTCCGAGTCCAAGGACAAACGACTAAAGCACTTACCGACTGCATGAGAGAGAAGAAATGAGGGGGCAGAAACTCCCCAAAAAACACGATGTCTGAACCAAGGAAAACAAAACAAAATCTTTGGTTAGGGTTCCCTGAAACCTGATCAAGAAGCACAAAGATCCCAGGACACTGCTTTGACGGGTGACCAGGTGGGATGCTCACCTGGCTTCACGATGTTCTGACATTTTTCACATCTGGGGATGAGAGATGTGAATACTTTTTCTGAAAGAAAAAGAAAAGGGAGCCGTGCACAATGCAGCTCAGCCGATGCTGTTTGGGTCCAGGTTACTTGAGGGATGGTCTCACCCCACTGGGATTGGCCCATACTACTCGTGCCAGCAAAGGAGGCGTGCTGTGGGTCCCATCAACCCAATTATTCCAGCTGGCAGGATCCAGGAGGATGATCTCAGCCATTGCTCCTGCCTGCTGGAAAATCTCCCCCCCCCCCCCCGATGTGGGGTTGGGCCCCAACCCTTCTATCTTCTCTTAAGGGCCTAAAGACATGACTTTGCCAGTTGGGGTGGGGCTGCAGTGGGGGATCAGGGCAACGAAGGTGGCTGATTGAGTAATAACAGATTCCACCTCCTCATGTGTCTTGGGTTGTAAGGTTTGATTTTAACATTTTATGTTTTAACTCAGATGTAACTGTCAGCCTCCCAGAGTTACCCTATGGATAGATGGGTGGCCAATTTTATAAATAAATAAATAAATACGAATAACCACAACCTTTAATTCTAACCAGTTTAACCTTTGTCTTGCTCCCAGAAGCCATACTAGGCAATCCAAAGCAGACCACTGGAATCCCTCAAGTTGTGGCTTTCTCCCCTCAGCAGCGTTCACACATCTCAGAAACAAGCATGGCTTCTGCTCTGAATATCAAGATCATGCCACAGGAATAATCCCGAGTTATTCTTCCCTGCTTCCACTTCCTGACCCTCACCTATCATCCACTCCAGGCTGTAGGGTTTCTTGCAAGTGGAGCTGATGCAATGGAAGGTATAAAAGGTGCCGTGAACTTCCACTAAGTGTTCGGGATCCAGACCTGCCACCCTCTCCAAGGCGTCGACATTCTGGAGGAAGGTAAGATGTTCAAAATAAATCCAACCTGAAATGGCTGCCAATCCTGGAGCTACACCGGACTAGGACTCTCAAAACGAGAAAAGGCTAATGGCCCTTTTTCTTTAGGAGGCCAGAATAATATAACTAAAGCTTTATTTTCAAGTGCCAGCCCCAAAGTGTCCCAAAGAGAAGAGGACTTATTTACCTGAGTGTAGCAGCGCAGTAGCAGCCCTTTATCCTTCAAGAGACGAATGAAGTAGTGACAGATGGTGGGCTGAAAAAGGACCAGAGCCTTAAATGTCATATTTTCTTTTCTCCAAAACACAAAAGAAACCAAAGGGTAGGTTTTATTTATATGTTTATTAATTCATTCCAAATTTACGGGACTCTTGGCAGTTCACACCGGAACACAAAATATCCATTGTTAATTAACAGCAAAAACAACCACAGCGATTAAATGAAACAATAAACTGCCGTAAATATGTATATTTTAGAGGCAACTAAGGTATTTCTTTTGTAGGTTTTATTGTATGGGAATCGTATATACCTTGGTGATGGAATAGTTTACAACCAGACTCATAAAGAAATGCTCCTTTTCCCAAGCATTAAAAATTATTAAGAAAATGCAGAGGATATAGTTCTGGTTCTACTTTAAAACTTTAGCCCCCCCCCCCCCAATTAAAACAAAGATACCCGATTTTGAGCATCTCTCTAAACTAGAAGCAGACAAAAACAGAGGTGGACTTCAGATCTAGCTTCTCAAGCATGTGAAGGGGGGGGGGGACTTGTTGGGAACTCTTTGAAGCAGCCATTTTTTCTCCTGGGGTGACAAAAGACCACTGCACTTTTAGGATTGAGTTTCAATCCCTGCCCGCCGCCTCCGAAACAAACATGAAAAGCCAGCTGACCTTGACGTGCCCTGGGTAAATCTCCCGAGCCAAGGTGAAGAATGGTTCTGGGTTTTGCTAAATAAAAACAGACGCCGAGTCAGTGATACCGAAGAAAACAAACCCCCGAGAGCACGGTATTCAGCCCACATCAATAGCAAGCAGGTAACTCAGCGTGGTACCTTGAAATAGTCAATCTCAAAGATGGCTTCGGGATACGGTAGATTGAACTGCTGCAGGTTGGCATACAGCCCCGTGCCAGGTGAGCGGAAATCGGGGATGCCCGCACCTGAGAGGCAGAAAGGCAAATGCTGAGATTGCATCGGCAGCTGTAAGTCGCTGAACAGAAAACCAACTAAGAGACAGATTACTTATTCTGATACCATAGTACAGTGTTTCCCAAACTTGACAATTTTAAGGCATGTGGACTTCAACTCCCAGAATTCCACAGCCAGCGTTGCTGGCTGTGGAATTCTGGGAGTTGAAGTCCTCATGCCTTAAAATTGTCAAGTTTGGGAAACACTGCCATAGTACAGTACATCGACACAGTTTGAGCTAAGAAGCAGGCACAGGTAGTCCTTGACTTATGACCACAATTGAGTCCAAAATTTATGTTGCTAAGCGAGACATTTGTTAAGTGAGTTTTGCCCCCACGGCTGTTAAGTGAATCCCTGCAGTTGTTAAGCTAAGAATACGGTTGTTAAGTGACCTTTGACTTTGCTTGTCAGCAGGTCGCAAAAGGGGGTCACGTGACCCCTGGAATACTGCAACTGTCATAAATATGAGTTGGTTGCCAAGCAATTTAACTTTGATCCCGTGACTCTGGAGACACGGTAACGTTTGTGTGAAAAGCGGTCATAAATGACATTTTTCACTGCCGTTGTGACTCTGAGCAGTCAGTAAATGTACTGTTGTAAGTCGAGGACCGCCCGCACTGTACTTGAGACTCTGAGCTCCTTTATTTCAAACCCAGCTTACAACAAGGGGGAGAAATTAAGTTTGATTCAGCAGGGTGCTTCTTGTGAACATTCTTTTCTCTACTTTCCCAGGAAAAGAGTTCTGAAGGAGCTGAATCATGCTAAATTGTCAGCTTAAAGCAGGAGCTACACCTGCCAGTTTCAACCGCTCCCACCATTACTTCCCCCATAGTCACGTCTAAGAAAAAATGAGGCTCTAGCACAGGTTTTATATTTGATTCATATCTCAAGGAGGGTATTACCCAGGTAGTTATGCTTCATATTTAACATTCAGTCTTTCTACTGCAGAGAAGATGGCGGAAAATCCAGGATTGCTTCATGCCCCGTTTGAAGGCTACTAATGTAAACAAAGGCTAAACTCACAAATAAAGGCAGATATACATGTCCCAGGATAATGTTTAAATGCTAAACTGGCTGAAGGTATTCTTAGCAATCCTAGGTGAGAATTCCTCCTGCTAAAAAAGATGTGAGCCGAGGTGGCACAGCAGTTAGAGTGCAGTACTGCAGGCCACTTTAGCTGACTGTGTTCAGCAGGTCAGTGGTTCAAATCTCACCGGCTCAAGATTGACTCAGCCTTCCATCCTTCCGGGGTAGGTAAAATGAGGACCCAGATTGTTGGGGGCAATGTAAAATAAATTAAATTATTATATATATATATATATATATATATAGATATAATATATATAATATATATATATATGAGGTCTTGGTTGTTTCGGGTTTTCTCCCGCGTAAAATTGGAAGGGTCTTGGCGACGTTTCGACTTGAAGTCCCATTCGTATCTTCAGCTGTGTTTTCAGCTCGTGCTTCGGCAGCAAAAAACATGGCTTGCTCGAAGCACGAAGCTGAAAACACCAGCCTGAAGATGACGAATGGACTTGTCGAAACGTCGCCAAGACACTTCCAATTTTACGCGGAGAAAACCCGACAACCAAAGACCTACATACAAACCACCGCGAAACCTCAGAAAACATATAGTATAATAATATATATACACAACATTACCATACATACATACACACACACACAGTGCTTACTGGTGTACACTGCTTAGAGAGTGCTTGCACTTAAAGCGGTACATAAGTCTCATAAATAAATAAACAAATGTGAGACCTATAAGCTTTCAGCAAAGAGACTTAAAGCCAAACCCGGCTGTTATGCAGCTTTGCAGATACTTCATCCCAGGAGAGACTGTGGGTTAGGAGTTAAGAGTAAATATTTTGTAGGTATAAGAACCCAGGGCCAATTTTCAACATTTCCTAATTAAGAAATAAACCGC